CCTGCCAGATTCTTCCCCCCCCCACCACCGCCCCCTGTAACCTCTGCAACGTCGCCGTGGGACAGCGAGTGCAAAGAGGGTGTCTCACTAAACCTGGGAAGCAAATCTGGAGCGGTGTCTCCTACCTCCAGACACTGAAGAGCAGATGCTGTGGACAAGGCAGGGTCACTTCGGCAGAGTCACTTTGTGAAGTCCCACTGTAAATGTCCACAGACTTCCCTGTGTACCTGAACCAAGTGCGAACTCATTGCCCATGAGTGAAATCAGGCTCAGGCTGTTGGCTGGGCTTCTTGAGTGTCCCAGTATCTCTGGAGTAATAAGGTCAGTACGCCCACTTCTCCACCATGGCCAGGAGATCTGTGGCCTGGGTTGGCAGCAGAAGTTCATCTCCCAGCTCTGCTCTTTGGTCACCAAAGCCAATGTCCAGCCCAACAGATCTATTTTTGAACTGCTTCTGAATGACTTCAGAGAGCAGGAAGAGGACACCATCTAATGCAACACACAGACACATAAATGCATTCTCCATCCTTCGGTATAGCAGTGCCCAGGGATGGGGAGTGAACCTTTTCAAAGGGATCTCACCCCACAGACTCTGTGAGTCAAAGCACGACTGCTTCCGAGGCAGCATCTCATTGTAGCCTCTGTAGATTTGCACCCACCTGTTTGCTTTGGAAATATCCCAAGTATAAATATCTTGATTAATTTTTTTGAGAACTAAGAAGGTCCATTTAAATCTCAGTTTCAAGTTCTCTGCTGAAATGAATTGTGAAATTCTCCAGTTGAGACATGAAACCAATCAGACTTGTTCATCATAAAAATCCCTCCAGCCCTGGCGCCATCTACTTTCCCAAGGAGCAAAACTTTACCAAGGAGCAAATAATAAATTTCAGGGACACACATTTAAACCTGTTTTGCAGTCAGCATCTCGGATCCCTCCCAGATAGAGGTATGAAGAGCAGAAGGACCAGAGCATGCTGGTTATCTCTTTGGGCCACCAAAATGTGACAACACTGCAATGGCCTTCCAGGAAGAGATTACATGGAGACAAGACTAATTAGACATTCATTAAGTGCTTAACTCAGCACAGCACTTCAGCACACATTCAACCTTCTCTTATTACAATGTCACATCAGCGTCCCTTTTAAAACTCCAGCTCTGATTACAGTGAAGCCAGCTCACATATGGGAGTGTCACCAGGGTTTTCAGACCTTGAAGTCCCAATGCCCCGTATTTCAGGAAGCTTTCCCTTCTGCAGCCCCCTGGTCTCCTACCGCAAACCCGTAGGACTTGATGATCTTAAAGGTCTTTTCCAACCTAAACGATTCTATGATTCTATGAAACCGGTGTGGGAGCCAATGTCAGCTTGCATTCCAAAAAAGAGAGTTCATCTCTAAACATCAGGACCTACAACCAGTCTCTGTCTTCTTCCCATGTTGCCTAGGTCAGCCAAGGGAGATCTGATGCTGGCCAAAAATATTCCCCCTGTTGAATTGTCTTCGCCTAGAAAAAAAAACCCTGTTCAAGCCTTCCCAGAGCAGAAGCTTGAGGTAGCTGCAGCGAGAAGGGGAGATGTTGGGGGGTGAGCTGCTGCTTCCAATACATTTCCAAACATGTCTTGCAGATCACCAGGACAAGCTCCATGTGCAGCAAGTCACTGAAATATCTCCTGCCGCCTCTGCACCCTGACAGATTCTTCCCACCCCCACCACCGCCCCCTGTAACCTCTGCAACGTCTGCGTGGGACAGCGAGTGCAAAGAGGGTGTCTCACTAAACCTGGGAAGCAAATCTGGAGCGGTGTCTCCTACCTCCAGACACTGAAGAGCAGATGCTGTGGACAAGGCAGGGTCACTTCGGCAGAGTCACTTTGTGAAGTCCCACTGTAAATGTCCACAGACTTCCCTGTGTACCTGAACCAAGTGCGAACTCATTGCCCATGAGTGAAATCAGGCTCAGGCTGTTGGCTGGGCTTCTTGAGTGTCCCAGTATCTCTGGAGTAATAAGGTCAGTACGCCCACTTCTCCACCATGGCCAGGAGATCTGTGGCCTGGGTTGGCAGCAGAAGTTCATCTCCCAGCTCTGCTCTTTGGTCACCAAAGCCAATGTCCAGCCCAACAGATCTATTTTTGAACTGCTTCTGAATGACTTCAGAGAGCAGGAAGAGGACACCATCTAATGCAACACACAGACACATAAATGCATTCTCCATCCTTCGGTATAGCAGTGCCCAGGGATGGGGAGTGAACCTTTTCAAAGGGATCTCACCCCACAGACTCTGTGAGTCAAAGCACGACTGCTTCCGAGGCAGCATCTCATTGTAGCCTCTGTAGATTTGCACCCACCTGTTTGCTTTGGAAATATCCCAAGTATAGAGGAGGCATATCAAGAAAAGTCAGGCTCCACATTTTGGGGTGGTATCTGGGTGTCTGGCAATTCCTTATGTGCCTTGAAAGTCATCAGACTAGATTAGTACGACACACGCATGCACTTTTGTTCGAAGACTAAAGTATCAAGTCAGGCCCAGAAACAACAGAAGACTCGGGAAAGAGCGGGGTGGGGGGAGACGGGGGAAGCTTGTAGGAAAAAAAAATTACACAAATATGACCAGGACAACAATGACAGCAATAATCAGCATCAGCGCTAAGAAATCAGGAGCCCTATCAAAATATTCCACCCACAAAATGCTTGCTGTCTCTTCATCCAAGTTGGATCTTGCCTCCATCTTCCTGATCAAGCCTTTGCAAAAATCAAAACAGACAGAGCGACAGACAGAGCAGCACATGGAGAGGCCGGGCACCCTGCAAGTATCGTTTCTATGTAGATGGCATCCCACCAGTGAAGATGATAATTCTGTATCTTCAATAAGGAGCAGATGTGAGGAGCCAGCAAAAAATTATCTACGCTCTCTACAAATATTTGACACCCAAAAAGGATTTTGATTCAGCCACCTTTGAGCCTCTTTCATATTTATTTTCTGGGAACATTCAAGCACTCGAGCTGGACTAGGAGATCTTTACAAAAGCCAATATTAAGCTTGAATGCTTCAGGATTTGCTGAAAATCTTATTTCAAATTTCACCTTTGGTTGCAATGAAAAAGGTCACGCTGCTTGGGTTGAATGCATAAATCACCCAATCAGCAAATGCAAGGCATGACACATGACTTAACGAAGCTCGCATCACGCCGAGGAGGCAGCCAACACGGTACTCCTTGCAAGCTGTTCACACAGGAGAAAAGGGCATTGCAAAGAAATCCAAAATCTGGAGAGCGAATATTGCCGTGTGCTCATAGCCGGGGAGGGAGGCACAGCTGAGGAACTAATTTGCAGGATTTATGGCTCGGCTGTGTGCCTTCATGTATTGATTCACAGATCAGCAAGAAACAAAATCTCCCCCAAAATACACTGACGAAAGCACTAATACCTGATCATATACTAATCTCTCAGCTAACGCCAGACTGCGGTCTGCAAGCAAATCATGCTGCACAGCTTGGACCTGTGCCTGGTAACCTCCTTCCTACTGCAAGCAAATTTAGCCTCCTTCCCCCCGCCTTGAGAAATTCCCCCCTGACCGGGGGTAGCTGCACAAGCCAGGCAGGAGGCCCAAACCCCAGACCCAGACAGATACCAACTTTCTCCCAGTGGCAGAGGACATTTCAATCCAGCACCTGAAGAAGATCAGACCCGGGGATGGGGGTCTGGTGTGATCCTGAACTTTGCCAAATTGGAGGCTCCCATTCTCGCTGCCCAGATTCCCATTTAGCACCACACCTCCGCTTTACATAACCTGCACGTTGGCAGGTGGGATGGGAGCTGAGAATAAACACATCAGAGTGGATCTGACACAGGTGCTGAAAGAAAGGCATCGCTTTCGGATCCCCCAATTCCCTTTTGCTTTGCGTAGCACCTTAGCACCGGTGGAGACTGTGTCGTATCTCTGGAAGGAGCATTTCCTTCCCTCAGACCTCAGGAGCATCTCACCTTATTCATAGCCCTTTTTGTCATGCCTCTTCCACCTCCCCAGTCCCTTTCCAGCCCATACCATACTCAAGATCATCATCAAACACACTGACAAAATAAGTGAGGAATGACCCCCAGCAGAGGCACCAAGTAACCCCACAGAAGCAGCATGGTGGTTTTCCAAAATCTTTCTCAAATTCTCCAGAAGGAAAAGGAGGCAGAGAACAAAATGAGCCTGTCTTTTGTTGCCGTTCCTTCAAAGCAGACCTGAGAATTAAGTTTTTCCCATGAATTAAAATGGTTGATGGAGCTGCTGAGTGCAGCCCGCCTCGGGAGGTAGCTTGGATCCTGACTTTTCTAGGACATCTATAATTATGTTGGAAAACTGCTCACCCTCAGGTAAGTCTCTCCCTTCAGCAGCTCTGAAGCAAAACAAGCAAGGCACAAGCCCCGGGAATGAATTAAACCATTTGGGGTATATTTAGGGGAAGCTATTTTGCAATTCCAGTCACAGGCTCATAAAGAGCCACCAAGGGTTACCAGACCTGCCTATCAATTAGGAATTAAGGTTTTTATACCAAGTATCCGCAGACTAGACACAGAGGTGATGGGGATGGTGTGAGACCCGGGAGAGGAAAACCCAACCAGCCCTCCCTCCCAAACGCCCCCAGCCACCCTCCACTCACCCAGAAACTCCACTCCACTGCTGTCCTTGGGGCTGCTCATGCAGTTCTCCAAGTAAATTCCATCCTTATAGCAATCTTCCTTCTTCCTCGTGAGCCCCAGGATCTCACTGGCCTGGTCTAGGACCTCCCCTCCTGAGCAAGAGCATGGGGTCTGCATAATGCCGCATGGGTGGGAGCTGCTGCTGATGGCCAAGCACGCGTCCAGCCACTTGCAGAGCATCTGGCAAGCGGCTTTGCTAGGGTTCCTGTTGCCCACCACGAGGTACTCCACCGAGAAGTCCCTCTCCTGAGCCTTTGTGGGCTTCCACCGCACGGGCCAGCTCTCCACCCCTGGTGGCGCGGTCTGCTTCATCTGGAGGAACTGTTTGTTGGACTGGAGGAAGGCATAGCGGGTCGACCCGTCACAGAGCTTCAACACATCGTCAAAGCTCTCCATGCCCAGGTAGGTGCGGGTGGACTCCAGGAAGGAGTCGAACTGGTAGGTGCGGATGTGCTGGTGGTCACATACGCCAGTAGGTTTTAGGATCTTCATGTACAAAGTGTACCTCCGAGGGTCAGGGTTCTGGATAATCCAAGAGCAGAGAGAAGAGTTCAATGGGAAGACAGCAAAGGAGGAGAAATACCCAAAGAATTTCCCCTGGACCAAAGTGGTGCAGGGAGTTTGTGCCAGGTCCAGAGCGACCACGGTCCACACAAAGTAGAGTGGCGATACCAAAAGCAGGTTCAGGGCAGATCCAATGCTCCTCATCCTAGGTCTCTGGTCCTCTGGAACTCAAAGTAAATGTCAAGCAGGCGCCAGATCCTGGACATAACAGGGACCAGCTTAGAGGAAAACTGAGAGTTTAAGAGGCTCTGGATGCGAAATCAAGCCAATCCTCCCATGTCTGGATTTGAGCTCCCTCCTGTGGCCATAAACAACACCTGGAAAAAAAAGGGAAGGGAAGGAGGAGGGGAGAGAAAGAGAAGAGATTTGGGATTTGGGCTTTTTGGTGGTGGTTTTTAAAATGTTTTTATTAACCCTTTGCAAGCCTGAGAATCCACACAGCATCTCCAGTCTCAGCATATCTCACTGGGGGAAGATGCAGCCCCATATCACCATCCCCATGCCAGGTTTGGGGGTGTCCCCATACCTAGGATGTCCTAACCCCCAGGAGGGGTCCAGATGTGACTCACAGTGGGGGACAACATAGCTGTGGCCCTGCTTTCCCAGTGCCCTCTGTCTGTGCAGTGCCCCTCTGCTGAGCTGAGCAGAGCCTTTGCAGTGACTTAGAACCATCTCCCCAAAGGAAACACCACTGAAATCTGTTTTAGGGAGTTTCCACCCCTCTCCAGCCCAGTGGAACAAGGATGCTGGTGGAGGGTGGGCTGGAGGCAGGCATGGGCAGTTGGACTCTACCTCATCTCTTCCTCCTGCCAGCCTTTTTTTTTTTTTTCCTTCTTTCTGCCTTTCCTTTTCTCTCACCCTCCTCTTCCACCAAATCAGTGCAGGGGAAGGGAGTTGTTGCTCAGTACCCCAACCCTGAGCCCAGACAGGAGTCCAAGGCTGGAAGGAGACATGCACTCAGTACAGGAGAAAAAAAAAAAGGGTGATAGAGGCAGATTTTAGATCTTCCCATATCAGACAGCCACCCCACCTTTTACCCCTGTGTGCAGGACACCCCAAAGCCTTCAGTACTGTAGCCAGGCACAAAGTATCTCCAGAGATTGAGAGTCCTCCCTACCAGCCCCAGGACTTCCTTCAGCCCCCGAAGCCTCTTCCAAACTGACATCCACCCTGCATTGCCCTATGGGACCTGTTCCCTGCAACCCTTTGTAGCCCAGATCCCCTCTTCAGCCCAACTGCCCAGACCCCTCTGCTCCCCTCCATGCTGAAGAGACTCCTGCTAAGTCTCCTTCTTTCTTACCCCACCAAGACCTTCCTGCTCTCCCTCCTCTTCATCTCCCCTCTTTCCAGGGGAGGAGAAAGAAGGGGAAACACCATCAGTAGCAGGACTGTCTTCATCTTGTACCCCCTCCCCATGCAGTGTGCACCCCCATGTTTGGGGAGGGGGCCTATTAAGAGATGCAGGGGTTGACAGGCAGGAGGGGACACCCTCAGTGTGTGGGGCAGAGCTTCTCCTGCTGCTGGGCATACAGTCATGGCACGTTTTCCTTCTCACCTTTCCAGCCATTTCCTTTCCTGCCCTCTTGTCTCATCCCAGGTAGAGAAAATCAGGATTTTCCCCCTGAGTGAAGCTTGTCCTGGCCCTACAGCACTTACTGTCTTCAAAACAGAGCTGCTGCCCAATTTCAGAAGGAGAGATTGGACCCCTAGGAGGAATTTTTCCTCTACTAAGTCAGATTACTGCCTTGATTTCGGGAGCCTCTGTGGTCCCCAGGTTAATGAAAATCAAGTGACCAGGGTGTCTGCATTGAAGCCTGAGTGCAAGCAGCCCAACTCCTGAGATGCTAAGATTGTCCTGGACTGCAACCTCAAAATAATTCAGATCATCTGGGATGTGCTTCTCCATGATCAGAGACCACAGTGACACTGCCAGGAAGGAATTAGGGTGAAAGTCTACGGAGAAGGGCACCTGCTGCAAGGGTGAAGGGAAAACACATCTCCATTGCAGCCACTCACCCTCCTCACCACCCCATGGTGTCCACAATGCTCAGCCCCGGTCCTGCCATCTCCTAACCTGCTTCCAGTCTCTGCCTTCCCAGGCTGCAAACAGCTTTCACAGCAGCCATACAAATTCCCAGCAAATCTACAGTTCAGGCAGATAAACCCAATCCCAGGAGAGACTGAAAAATAAGAGATGGAGCCTGTAGACCATCCTGTGCATCTGGGAAGAGATAAGAAGCCAAATGCATCTCCTCATTCACCCCTTGGTTTCTCTCCTCGCTCTACATCAAAGTTTGGTCTCTGCATCTCCCCTCTTCTGCAAAAGCCTTTTCTTCTGGGGAGGAAAGGGTTAGGTAACTCGAAAGTCAGATCTGGTATTTGCAAACCGTGTTTCATCCGAGCTTCAAATCACTGCAGCCTCTGCCAGAGGGTTCCTGAGTGTCTGTTAGACCTGACGCTAATCAGCATGGAGTCCAAATGCATTTGCACTTAAATTTTTTAGAAGTCAGGTCCCCACTCTTGACAGTGGTTTGCAGCCTGCAAAGCTCCGCAGTGCAAATCTTCCTGTGCCAGACTCCTGCCTGCCTTGGGGGCCAGATTTCAGGAACGCAGCCTGCTTAGGGGATGCAAAAGTAGCGTCTGCTTGCAATGAAAACCACAGGTATCCTTTAAATTTCCAGAGAGGTCATCCTGATTAGCAGGAGGGATTGCCTGAAAATGACTGTGAATGCCTTAAAAATCAGCTTTGATAAGTGAAAGTTGCTTGCTTAGCTGAGAATCTGAAAGGGGCCACTGGTTTGCCTCTCCCTCACTGTAGGGCAGTGCCTGAGCAGCTCGTGCTGTTTGCAAGCAGGCACAGCCTCTGCAAAGCCAAAATCTAGTCAACCTTCACACCAATGAGCCAGCCAGGCATCCTCTTAACCTCTGGTCCAGACCGGGAAGAAACCTGCTTCTCCCAGTTGGAAGCAAGAGCCAGCGGTGCCTCCATAGCAACGAGATGATTAGGAGACAGGGCTTGCGCCTAGATCCAGTACCTAACGGTGACTTCAGCACATGGGATTCAGCCTAAGGCTCCTGCCCTCCACAAACCCAATTTTTCTCACCCTGGCCACAGACCTGCCACTGAATGAGGATGCAGAGAGCACAAAATGCATCCCCCCCCCCACCCCGCTCACCACTCCTCTCTGGGAAAAGCACGGTAAAAGCCAACAAACTTTAACTAAACAGACCCGTTAATGGGACACTGTGTTACGGTTGTTAGGTCTCAGAACTGATTTCCCCTGAATGCAGTCCCATCTGGAACGTTTCACCATAAGGAACATAAACATATTTTTTCTCGTTCAACTAATCCTTGCTGAAATAGGAATCTTATCTTTACTTAGAGCAGAAGTGAATAGACAAAACCTCCATCCACACCTGTGTCTTTGGCTTAACACGTGTTGGACCTGGCAGGGAGAAAAGATGCAATGGGCAGTTGACTGGCTACTGCGTTTCAGCAGAGAGATCCATCTTCTACACTTGAATCCAGAAAAATCCCAAGGGGGACATATAGCAGAAGCTGCAGCCTGCAGCTGGGGAAGTGACATTAAATGCATTAAAAGACAGATTATTCCAGTGTTGGAGACCACGTTCCTATGGTATACAGGCAAATTTCACAGAATCATAGAATCATAGAATCATTTAGGTTGGAAAAGACCTTTAAGATCATCAAGTCCAACCATTACCCTAGCACTGCCATTCCACCACTAAACCCTGTCCCTAAGCACCTCGTCTACCTGTCTTTTAAATACCTGCAGGGATGGGGACTCAACCACTTCCCTGGGCAGCCCATTCCAGTGCCTGAAAACCCCTTCTGTGAAGAAATTTGCCCATATTCCCATGGTTGTTGCCACAGCTAGTGTCTAGGTAGCCTGGCTATTTCTGTAATTTTGTGTGATGGGAGACATCCATGCCTGGTCCCATCCCTTGGCTCCAACTTGGAGCACATGCCACCCCTCCTGCTCTTTTTTTCCAGTCCTGTGCCTGGGAGATGGGTCTGGCAGAAAAGTCTTTTCTGGAGTAAAGCTTGGAAACGGCAGATGACTTTGGAGTACCTGGGGCTGTCCCTTGCCCACATTTCTCAAGAACAAAAAGAAGGGCAAAAATATTGTTGTCTTTGTGTGTGTGCCCCTGGCAGAAGGCAGGTGTTCATCCCAAGGAACTCACAGAAAGGGGTTGACAAGTTTGGTCCAAATGGCCCTTCTGCCTTGATTGCCTTCTGCAGGTGTTAAGAGATGATGAAGCAGAGGGTTATGAAGAGATGTTGTATTGGGTTTCTGTGGCAAGGTCTTGGTAGTGGGGGGGCTACAGGGGTGGCTTCTGTGA